TAAGTAACAACCAGAATTTAAGGTAAGTGTATTCACATTGCTTGACTTTTTAAGGTTATGCTAGGTTACATGATGCATCATACTATAACATCTTTACTGTGCCCATAATATCTGTGCCTCTTAAAATCACTGTACAGTACTTATTTTAGGTGAGCTATGTTTTTACAAGAAAACTGTTTGGCTGCTTTGGAGATAGTATAGACTGTAACCTATTTTTTCCTTAACTTTACTCCATTTATTATGCTTTCACATTTAGCTCTGTTTTTCTGGAACATATCTTGTGTGAAGTGTAGCAATTATATATTACAGTAAACTTTTATTTAACATGGATTTGTTTTCAGTAATTATGACACATTTCAAAAAATGTATCCAAGTGTGCAAAATTTTGATATGTGATGGCAATGTTCAAATTACTGGGTGTTCAGAGGGTGCCGTAGTGCAGCAGCTATATTCCCTCCTCACTTGGGCCTTGTGGGAAGGAGTATTTTAAGTGTCACATCTAGACACCCCCCCTCCCCTCCCATATTCCACTGACCACCTGCAACACTTCTAGTTGCTTTCTGAGAATGTCTTGTGCCCCACCAACTTGTTTACCCAGCAATTTGATATCACCTCATTGTCTCTTGGATATTAAACCATGGCACCCAAGACATTGATGTTGGAGGTTCTAAGAAGTACAAGTATGAATTGATGCTGACAGTTTTTAAATTTTGATGTACTTCGATGTGGTTGACATCTGATGTAAACTACACTGGAGTTTGGTGCAAATTAGCCATTCATGCTACAGTACTGGAAGCAATTATAGAGTAATTAAGTTGAAGTTCCTGTGTGGATTGAGAAAACCCAGAAAGCTCCCATTAAGTGGTCAGTAACAAGGAACAAAACCCAGTCCTTGTGAAATTGTGCAAAAGCAAGGAGGATAGTAAACTTAATACTGGTTTGAAAGTTTTAAGAGGCAGATCAAACTGCATAACACAGCAGTGATGCATTGCAGAATACTTGATAACCATCAACAGCCATAAACTATTGACAACTCTGGGTCAACATCAACTAAGAATCACAGCCATTAATCTCAAGCCAGCAGGCCATAAACTCACTCTCCCCTCCCTACACTCAGATCTTTAAGTGCTACAAGCGAATGCCACCAGATTATGAGGAAGGTTCTAAATTTAGGATGGTATAGCATTTTTAGTGGCAGAGGATAGAGGGGCTTGGAACATTAATTTTCAATTGTGGGATTCTATAATGTAATTAGCCCTTGTGGCTTAGCGCTTCTTTTTGATTATAATAATAATGTAATTCTATTTTAAAAAGATTTCAGCACTGTAACCCATGTTAAACAAGGGTCTACTGTATTTACATGTTATTAAATATTTGGATATTCTGGTATTCATAAACATTCAGACCATGCATATAATTTTACAATAGTCAAATTTGCTCATCTTTTCAACTTCAGGAGTTTTTGCTTACACTTAAGAGTTTTAGCATGTCACTGAAAGTGTTGAATATGGAGGTTGTTTAGTGAATGCTAACACAGGCTGATAGCACTTTACTGTGCATCTGTTCTCTTATTACATCACTGTTAATTTTTGTATATGATACACAGGTGAACCTTGTGCAAGTGTGGGTTGGTTCCAAAATAGGGCCACTTTAAAAGGTGTCATAGATCTGAATGCTGAAGTTTACAAGTGGATGTCGTTGTAAGAGAAATGTGATGCTCAAGAGGACTCCATGTGATACACACTGTATATCATTCAGATGAAAAACTTTTATAATGCTGAAAACAGGAGCTCCTCAGCCCATTAACATGGTTCTAAAACTTCTCTGAGGCATTCTAGTGTTCCCAGTCATGTTAAAGACTGCAGCCACCACCAACAGGAACAGACTCCACCCCCTACAGCAGCAACTAAGGCACAACTGTAAGATACTACAGATTCCCACCAATAACAGGAGCTGAGACTTTACCACTGCTATTACAGCTTTGTAATTACAGCCAACAGTCTTCAACTTCCATCAACGACAGGAGCCAAGATATCTGCAACCAAATGTGGTGAGTAAATCAAACCTGCAGCTCCCAGTAGCTATGATGGTAGCAGACTTTATAGAAGCTTAATTGTAAACAGAGCCAATTAACATGACTCATTAGTATTGGAATTTTGCTTACCATTTCCCTAATAACTGCAAGCAAATGTGCACTTCTGTACTTGTGACGTGCTGTACCAATGACCGTAAATGAGAGCCTTTAATTGAGCTATGTGTAGAAAGAGGTTTAGTAATAAGTAATACATATTTTATGAAGAGGATAAATAAATATACAAGATATGATATAGCACGTAATGAAAGTAGTTTGCTAGATTATGTATTGGTGGATAAAAGGTTGATGGGTAGGCTCCAGGATGTACACGTTTATAGAGGGGCAACCGACATGTTGGATCATTATTTAGTTGTAGCTACAGTTAGAGTAAGAGGTTGATGGGAAAAGAGGAAAATGGCAACAAGTAAGAGGGAGGTGAGTGTGTATAAACTAAGGGAGGAGGAAGTTCAGGTGAGATATAAGCAACTATTGGCAGAAAGGTGGACTGGTGCAAGTATGAGCAGTGGGGGGGGGGGGGAGGGTTGAAAAGGGATGGAATAGTTTTAAAATGCAGTATTAGAATGTGGGGCAGAAGTTTGTAGTTATAGGAGGGTGGGTGCAGGAGGAAAGAGTGATTGGTGGAATGATGAAGTAAAGGGTGTGATAAAAGAGAAAGTTAGCTTATGAGAGGTTTTTACAAAGTGTTATGAGAAGAGTAGAGTATATAGAGAGTAAAAGAAAAGTGAAGAGAGTGGTGAGAGTGCAAAAGGAGAGCAGATGATAGTGGGAGAGGCACTGTCAAGAAATTTTAATGAAAATAAGAAAAAATTTTGGAGTGAGTTAAATAAGTTAAGAAAGCCTAGGGAACAAATGGATTTGTCAGTTAAAAACAGAGAAGGGGAGTTAGTAGATGGGGAGATGGAGGTTTTGGGTAGATGGCGAGAATATTTTGAGGAACTTTTAAATGTTACCGAAGAAAGGGAGGCGGTAATTTCATGCACTGGCCAGGGAGGTATACCATCTTTTAGGAGTGAAGAACAGGATGTGAGTGTGGGGGAGGTGCGCGAGGCATTACGTAGAATGAAAGGGGGGCAAAGCAGCTGGAACTTATGGGATCATGACAGAAATGTTAAAAGCAGGGGGGGATATAGTGTTGATAGAAATAGGGAAGCAATGTGGCAGATGTTGCAAGTATATGGAATAGGTGGTAAGTTACTAAATGCTGTAGAGAGTTTTTATGAGGATAGTGAGGCTCAGGTTAAGGTGTTTAGAAGAGAGGGAGACTACTTCCTGGTAAAAGTAGGTCTTAGACAGGGATGTGTAATGTCACCATGGTTGTGTAATATATTTATAGATGGGGTTGTAAAAGAAGTAAATGCTAGGGTGTTCGGGAGAGGGGTAAGATTAAATTATGGGGAATCAAATACAAAATGGGAATTGACACAGTTGCTTTTTGCTGATGATACTGTGCTTATGGGAGATTCTAAAGGAAAAATTGCAAAGGTTAGTGGTCAAGTTTGGGAGTGTGTGTGAAGGTAGAAAGTTGAAAGTGAACATAGAAAAGAGTAAGGCGATGAGGCTATCAAATGACGTGTCGGCGGATGGATTTATGAAGGATGAGGTTAATCATAGAATTGATGAGGGGGGAAAAAAAGGGTGACTGGTGCATTGAGGTTTTTTTTTTTTTTTTTTAACAAGTTGGCAGTCTCCCACTGAGGTAGGGCGAGCCAAAAAAGAAAGAAAATCCCCAAAAAGAAAATGCTTTTATCATCATTCAACACTTTCACCACACTCACACATAATCAATGTTTTTGCAGAGGTGCTCAGAATACAATAGTTTAGAAGCATATACGTATAAAGATACACAACATATCCCTCCAAACTGCCAATATCCCAAACCCCTCCTTTAAAGTGCAGGCATTGTACTTCCCATTTCCAGGACTCAAGTCCGACTGTATGAGGTATATGTGGAGACAAAAAACATTATCTCTGGAGGCAAAGAAGGGAAAGTGCAGTAATACAACACTCTTATATAGGTGTGAAGCTTGGGTTGTGAATGCAGCCACAAGGAGGCGGTGGAGATGTCCTGTCTAAGGGCAATGTGTGGTGTAAATATTATGCAGAAAATTCAGAGTGTGGAGTTAATAAAAGTATTAGTCAGAGGGCTAAAGAGGGGTTGTTGAGGTGGTTTGGTCATTTAGAGAGAATGGATGAAAGTAGAATGACATGGAGAGCATTTAAATCTGTTGGGTAAGGAAGGCAGGGTAGGGGTCGTCCTCAAAAAGGTTGGAAGGGAGGTTTTGTGGGCGAGGGGCTTGGACTTCCAGCAGGCATGCGTGAGCATGTTTGATAGTGAATGGAGACGAATGGTATTTGGGACCTGACGATCTGTTGGAGTGTGAGCAGGGTAATATTTAGTGAAGGGATTCAGGAAACCGGTTATTTTTTATATAGCCGGACTCGAGTCCTGGAAATGTGAAGTACAATGCCTGCACTCTAAAGGAGGGGTTCGGGATATTGACAGTTTGGAGGGATATGTTGTGTATCTTTATACGTATATGCTTCTAAGCTGTTGTGTTCTGAGCACCTCTGCAAAAACAGTGATTGGGTGCGAGTGAGGTGAAAGAGCTGAATGATGATTAAAGCATTTTCTTTTTGGGTCAGTGCTTGTTAAATTGAGATGTGGCTGTTGGTGACTGATCTGGCACTTAATGGTAATGATCCAGTTTCTTAAATTCCACATTTGTTCCAGTAATATTTGATATTACTGATAGACTGATTAGTCTTGGGCCACAGATGTTAACACTGTTCTCATAGAGGGCCTATGGTTCTCTTGCTTAAGTACAAAATTAAAATACACATTGTATAGATTTGACATTGTTACTAAGGGCATTTCAAATTAAGGTTCTGAATATAATCACAGACAAAAATTAGCATACGTTTATTTAGCTTTATTGTCTCTCTCAAACGTTGGGCTGGACACCCGTAATTCACTGCAACACTGTTCATGCCTGACAATGCTTTCATACTTATTCTTGGGTAAACATGGGTAAAGAAACATGTACCTCTAATTATACAATGAGAAGACATGTTCTTCATGAAGAGAGCTTCTTGGAAATGTATGGTATTGTCTTATTAGGTCATTATTTATTGTCCTAATTTTTTGAAGAAAATTATAAATACAAAGATTTATTTTAAATTCTTTACCCAATGAAAGAAACACATTTATAGCAATTAAATATTTTAAATTTTGTATATGGTTAAAATGCTGCAACTCATTCACATCAAATCTAAATGTTTATGATTTTTCTTGAGTTAAGGGTCAAACTTATGAGATCCTGCAATCTTTCATATCGCAAAAAAAAATTTATTATCTAACAGGTAGCCTGTTACAAGTGTATCATGTACTCTCTAAGGACATTCAATGTCTTGCATTTATGAAACAAGTACTGTAGTTTGAATATTCTCACCTCGGGAGACTGTGGCCCAAGTGAGAGACTTACAGTATGTGATCATTCATTCTGAGACTAAATATAATGTCAATAAAGCTGCTTTTCTTAAAAAAAAAAAAAATTAGGAATTGCTATATTGACACCTAAGTCTCAAAATATATTTTGATATCACTTCACTTTCAATATTACAACTCGGCATGCCGTTCTTGGTAATTTTGATCTGGGCTTAATTTATACTGGGTAACTTCCTTAGTCATGAATATGAAAATGGCAATTATGGAAGTACTGTACTGCATTCACTAGCTATATTCTCCAAGCACTTCAAGCCTTACTACTACAATTTTTACCATGTGAAAGGCAAGAGGACTTGAAGTAATTTGTGCTGGAAATTCACTGTGATAGGACGTCAAGATATAACAATGGATGGGGTCTTTAGGCTTAAGCTTAATTTCTCTAACTGCAAAATAAAAAAAAAAAAAAAATTGCCTATTTGAAATCAAATCTAAAGTGCAGCTTACTAGCAGTATTAGAACGAGTCAAGCCTGAATACTGACAAGAATAATTTACAACAGATTGAAATAAACACCAAATTAAAATGTCAATAAATGCACACAATACATACTCCTAACCTATTAAACAATAAAATTCATCAAAATATAATCTTTAAAAGTACAATACATAAAATATGCCAAAAATCATAACTGTCTAATAACTAAGGAAGACATTAACACTAAAGTTAAAATATAAGTGATAAAGATTCTTGTACTAGCTTTCATTATGAAGGTAGAGCTATTTCTTTTACAAAAAAAGCACCAGTCTAGGGAAGTGCTCTAATTAGGGACATTTTCCACCTTCAATATACTACATATTAAAAAATTATTAAAAACCTCACATTAGGTGTATTTTACTGAAAAAGTTTACATACAAAATTAATATAGTACACGAGTGGTGTTAAGAAACATGGCCATAAGATAAGCACTTCCCTATAACATCCTTTTCGTTTTATAACAACTAAACCATAACTTTCATTATGATTCCAAATCTCTTGCATACTTTGGGAGTGACTGTTACTGCAATAAGTAAGTAAACTGACAAACTTTTTTTCCAGTTAATGCCAAAGACTAGGGAGCTACTTTATCATATTACCAGCTTACATCATCATCCCTATGCTAATCTTTTGGAGTTTACTTTGCGATGACAGTAGGCCAAAATATAAAACACTGATAGTTACGAGTTGATGGAAAAAATAGATATTGTGTCAATTTCATTTGCTGATGGCTCATAAAAAAAAAAAAAATACATAAAATGACAGTCACCAACTGAGCAATACACAATCGTACCAAAGCTATAAAGTATCTGTATACAACCAGCACTGAGACCAACTTCTAAACTGTCCAAATAAAATCTTATTCCATTTTAGCTCCAGCACTCCAAGGAGCTATCCAATTCAGCTCATTTTTTTCTGGATTGCCAGAGTTGCATCACAGTTGTGTGGGATGACAGATATCACATGATGTCATCCTAATATAAATTCACTGTGAAATACTGTACATTTTTTTTGCCACTTATTAGACTTCCACTAAAAGTGCTAAAGAGCACTTGTTAGACACAACCCAGAGGTATGTTTCCTCCCCAATAAAACACAGGATGTTGGAGCCTCAAGCACACTTGACACACACAAGTTATGTCACTAGTTTCTTACAGAGTTGTTGCTCGTTCCAATAATTCAGCAATAAATTTCTGAAAATAGAATAGAATGATCAGTACAAGATACATGGCATTATATATGACAAAGTATGAACACTAACATGTCTATTATATGGAAATTATTTATCAATTTCCCTAAAAATCTGCTTTATTTGTAAAACAATAAATGGTAATATGTATTGGCCAAAAGTCACTGTCCTTGTAAGTTGGTAAAGATGTGTTGGTTAGCACCAGACCTTTTGCACTAGAAGGCTTTGAAAAGATTGAAGTTTCCTAAATATGAGCTCTGTACCCTTCAAGGTAGAAGTGCTTGTTATTGGCTCTTCAAGGAACTGGGCTTACCCTTGCCTTAGATTGAATTTTCTTGCCTCCCATTCCCTAGGTGCTGTATGATCTCCCTTTCCTAATGGAGATGGTGAGATCTTTCCCTCCAGTGATACTTGGAGGCAGATTATTATTATAATAAAAAAGAAGCGCTAAGCCACAAGGGCTATACAGCGCTACTTGGAGGCAGAAAACTGAAGTTTATTTCAAGGTTACCCAAAGATGATTTTGGGGTCATTACCCCTGGGGCCCAGTCCTAGACAAGGACTCCACGTTACTGACCTAACTGACTAATGCTGGTGTTGGTTGCAGGCAGTCCAACATATGCACCACAGCTCAGCTGATCAGGAATTAACTTAGAACTGGTAATTCCATTTGTGAATGAAGGGAGGTTTGGAGTTTTGGTCCCTTTACAGTTACAGAGTTATCTTATAGTCCACTTACTGTACCCCTGCTTTTAACTGGGTTTATTTTGTACTGTGTATCTAGTGATTTTGGTGTGCAGATTTAGAATCAATCCCTCCAGAATTTTCCAAGTAAAAATTATGACATGTCCTCACCTACATTCTGAGTACAGTTTGAAGGACTTCAAGTATTCCCAGTAATTTTAGTGCTTGACTAACATTATATGGGCAGTGAAAGTTCTCTACATTCTCCAGATCTGCTTGACCCATCTGGGTTTAGCATTCCCCTATGAATATTATAAAAGGTACCAAGACACTAGTGCATCAAGGAAAAAACAAGCTTGTACAGTGATGATACAGTGAGTACCAATAGAGATACAACCTCTGTTCACAATGCTAATTTCAGTTTTGTCTTTGGTCCCAAATTTGAAACAAATGTACAGAACTTAGGTCACATAACCTCTCTGGAGGACACGAAAGTGACTCGCCAGCGTACTAAAGTGATATGAATTATGCTAGGGAATGCTGACGTGATTGTTTTAGTCACTGTCCCATGATTATTATCAAGGGGGAAGCGCTAAACCCGGAGGATTATACAGCGCCTGGGGGGGGATGTGGAAGGCATTCAGGCTTAATTAGGGGAACTGGAGCACAGATCCAATTCCCTAAATCAAGAGCCCCTCACCAACATCAAGGAACCTTCCTTAAGGGGACTGTCCCATGAAACTTACTGAAACGTCACGTTTGACCATTACATTACAGTACTAATGGTACTCGCCTCCACTTTATCCTTGGATTGTTTGCAGTCCGCCAAGGAGTCCCATAAATACTTCTTACGTTTTAATTCTCCCTCAACATCAAGTAGTTCATCAAGGTCCAGCTCCTTCTCCTCATTTTTACCTTCCTGGAAATATTTTGCAAAATCAGAAATTTTTCCTATTAGTTGTGCTATTTGTAAGTCTTTCAAATACGTATCTTAAGATTTGAGACAAAATGTGTGTTGACTGACCCATACGGGTTTTCTTACTATAATCATTGAGAAGTACTAAACTAAGTGCCTAAGGTAGAAGACAGGTTTGATCAGAGGAATGGTTATGTAACTCCAAATCCTTGGATCAAGAACCCTAAATCCAGCCTTCAAAAAAAAACAAAAACTCCCATTTCTTAAAATAACACCACATATACTCTGACAAAGGTTAAGAAACTGAAGTGAAAATAGATACTTTTTGCATATTATCAGACTTGCATATGTTAACCTTACCTAATATTAAATGAGAGCTATATTATTATTATTATAATCAAGGGGGAAGCGCTAAACCCGTAGGATTATACAGCGCATGTGGGGGGATGGAAGGTATTCAGGTTCAATTCAGGGAACCGGAGCACAGATCCAATTCCCTAGATCAAGAGCCCCTCACCTACGTCAAGGAACCTCCCTTGAGGGGAAATGAGAGCTATAAATATAGCTTTTTTCACATTTGTATAAAGTAATTGCTCAAATAATCTACCATGACAACTGCTAATGTGGGGAGAAAAAAATTTTGGCCTCAGAAACACTGGATTTTGAGAATTTTAAATTTCCATTATTGCTCAAAATCACAAAACGTGTAATCTTCAACTACTAATTAAGAATATGGAGTGAAAATTATTAAATAAAGAATTTTAGCATAGTGTTTTTTTTGTTTACTTACGTAAATAAGTTTATTCAGGTATACACAGATACAGTTACATAGATTATCATACATAGCAGCATATGTGTAGAGAACCTGGGATAACCCAAAAAAGTCACACACAGTAACTTATTTCCACTGGGGTCCTTTTACCTTATTATTATAATAAAAAGGTTATATCAGTGAAACATAAGTGAACAGTATTTAGATAAGGCTAAAGAGGTCTTTGTGGCATTTATAGATTTGGAAAAGGCGTATGACAGGGTGGATAGGGGGCCAATGTGGCAGATGTTGCAGATGTTGCAGGTGTATGGTGTAGGAGGTAGGTTACTGAAAGCAGTGACAAGTTTTTACGAGAAAGTGAGGCTCAAGTTAGAGTACATAGGAAAGAGGGAAATTATTTCCCAGTAAAAGTAGGCCTTAGACAAGGATGTGTGATGTCACCGTGGTTGTTTAATATATTTATAGATGGGGTTGTAAGAGAAGTAAATGCGAGGGTCTTGACAAGAGGCGTGGAGTTAAAAGATAAAGAATCACACAAAGTGGGAGTTGTCACAGTTGCTCTTTGCTGATGACACTGTGCTCTTGGGAGATTCGAGAGAAGTTGCAGAGATTGTGGTGAATTTGGTAGGGTGTGCAAAAGAAAATTAAAAGTGAATACAGGAAAGAGTAAGGTTATGAGGATAAAAATATAGGATGATGAAAGATTGGATATCAGATTGGAGGAGAGAGTTGGAGGTGAATGTATTCAGATATTTGGGAGTGGATGTGTACAGCGGATGGGTCTATGAAGGATGAGGTGATAATATGAATTGATGAGGGGAAAAGGGTGATGTATGGTGCACTTAGGAGTCTGTGGAGACAAAGAACTTTGTCTTGGAGGCAAAGAGGGGAATGTACTAGAGTTATAGTTTTACAACGCTCTTATTATGGGCGTGAAGCATGGTGATGAACTTTGCAGCAGGAGAAGTGGAGGCAGTGGAGATGTCATGTCTGAGGGCAATGTGTGGTGTGAATTTAATGCGAGAATCGTGTTGGAATTTAGGAGGAGGTCGGGATTACCAAATATTATATAATCAAAAAGAAGCGCTAAGCCACAAGGGCTATACAGCGGCGGGATTACCAAAACTGTTGTCCAGAGGGCTGAGGAAGGGTTGTTGAGGTGGTTCGGACATGTAGAGAGAATGGAGCGAAACAGAATGACTTCAAGAGTGTATCAGTCTGTAGTGGAAGGAAGGCGGGGTAGGGGTCGGCCTAGGAAAGGTTGGATGGAGGGGGTAAAGGAGGTTTTGTGTGCGAGGGGCTTGGACTTCCAGCAGGCATGCGTGAGCGTGTTTGATAGGAGTGAATGGAGACGAATGGTTTTTAATACTTGACGTGCTGTTGGAGTGTGAGCAAAGTAACATTTATGAAGGGGTTCAGGGAAACCGGCAGACCGGACTTGAGTCCTGGAGATGGGAAGTACAGTGCCTGCACTCTGAAGGAGGGGTGTTAATGTTGCAGTTTAAAAACTGTAGTGTAGAGCACCCTTCTGGCAAGACAGTGATGGGGTGAATGATGGTGAAAGTTTTTCTTTTTCGGGCCACCCTGCCTTGGTGGGAATCGGCCAGTGTGATAATAAATAAAATAAATCTTATTATTATTCTATAATGAAGATAACATCTTATTATCATACTAAAAAGACTACTACACGAGGGTCATTAAGACTATCTACAATACGAGGGTCATTACTAAGAATAAGTAATAACTTTCAATGAAACTTCAAAAAGAGGGATTTTTCACATTAGTAGTAAATGATATATGTACCATATTAGCTACAAATTTTGAGAAAAGGTTTTTGCCTTGCAAACCCTAACAGTGCTGTATGACCCTTGTCGGTTTAGTGCTTTCTTTGATTATTATAATCAAAAAGAATTTCTTTGATAATAATGATACAAACCTTAACCTATAGGCTAAGGATTTTCCATAATTTTTCAAGCTTTCCATATTGTTTTAAATCACATGTGCTCACTAACATACTGATTAAGTAAATGATTAAAATTGTTCAATACAAATCTTTTCAGCATATTCTAAGGTTTTTTGTAATTATAACCTAAACTTCAATTATATTAGTATAATATTCATGTATTCATGGGGCAAAGCTAAACCTGAACAGGTGGTACAGCATTTAGGGTAATAGAAGGCATTTGGAATTTCAATCAAGTAATTAGAAAACAGATCCAATACCTTCGATCAAGAGCCCCTCGCTAGCATCCATGAACCTCTCTTCGAGGTATTTAACCTTCAATGAAAGCTTTTATATAGGCTTTTTTTTAAATTTGTAAGAAGTAAATGATAAAAACAATAATAAATCTACCATGTAAATTGCCAATTTTGAGATAAAAAAAAAAAAAAGAAAAGTAAGCTACAGGCATAGGAATTTCAAGATTCTTGTTTTTTAAGTTTTCAATATTGCCTGAAATCACATCACCTGTACTTAATGACATGCTGATTGTCCTAAGACAATGGACTGAAAATAGAGATAATTTTAATATTCTTCTTTCAACAAACCATCTGTATCCCACAGAGCCAGGGTGACCCAAAAAGGAAAAGTTTCCCTTTTTAAATTTAGTAATGTATACAGGAGAAGGGGTTACTAGCCCCTTGCTCCCGGCATTTTAGTCATCCCTTGAGACACGCATGGCTTACAGAGGAAGAATACTGTTCCACCTATCCGTGGAGATAAAAGAAAATAAACAAGAACAAGAACTAGTAAGAAAATAGAAGAAAACCCAGAGGGGTGTGTATATGCTCATACATGCATGTGTAGTGTGACCTAAGTAAGAAATAGTAGCAAGACATACCTGAAATCTTGCATGGTCATGAGACAGAGAAAAGACACCAGCAATCTTATTGTGTAAAACAATGAGAGGGTTTTGTTTTACACTCACTTAGGAAGGTAGTACCTCCCTGGGCAGTTGCTGTCTACCTAGTTTTAACATACATGTATTATAAAAGAATTTTTTATCTACACTAACCTAACCTTCAATGAAAGCTGTAGAGTTTCTTTTAATATTTGTAGAAAGTAATTATCAAATAGATTCACATGTTATGCGTCAATTTTGGGCTATACATTTAGGATTTTCCAGAAATCTTTCAAGCTTTTAGCATTACACTTAAAAATCACACCACAAGTACTCACTGACTTACAGAGTAGGAAATTGCTGTGAAAATTATGTACCGATAATTTAGGCATCTTACATGACTTTTTAATCTATCTTAACCCTTAAACGGTCCAAACAGATCGACGTTCAAATTCGTAGTGCTACAAAAGTAGATCTTCAAAATGGTATACAATACCGACATGTTGGTAGTTAAGACACATAGGCAACTTTATTTCGAAACGTTTCGCCTACACAGTAGGCTTCTTCAGTCGAATACAGAAAGTAGGCAGGAACAGTAGAGATGTGAAGACGATGTAATCAGTCCATCACCCTTGAAGTCGTAGAATTTGAGGTTGTCAGTCCCTCAGCCTGGAGAAGTTCAGTTCCATAGTCAGGAACTATCTGATAGTTCCTGACTATGGAACTGAGGGACTGACAACCTCAAATTCTACGACTTCAAGGGTGATGGACTGATTACATCGTCTTCACATCTCTACTGTTCCTGCCTACTTTCTATATTCGACTGAAGAAGCCTACTGTGTAAGCGAAACGTTTCGAAATTAAGTTGCCTATGTGTCTTACCTACCAAAAGTAGATTACTTTTTTTTACATATTTTCAAATATAACAAAAAAAAAAAAATGTAGATAAGTTTTTTTTACACATTTTCAAATGTAAAACAAAAAAGAAGATTACATTTTTTTGCATACTTTCAGATGTTGAAAAAACGTATATACAGTGGACCCCCGGTTAACGATATTTTTTCACTCCAGTAGTATGTTCAGGTGCCAGTACTGACCGAATTTATTCCCATAAGAAATATTGCGAAGTAGATTAGTCCATTTCAGACCCCCAAACATACACGTACAAACGCACTTACATAAATACACTTACATAATTGGTCGCATTCAGAGGTAATCGTTATGAGGGGGTCCACTGTATATGTTTGGACCATTTAAGGGTTAACTACCTTTGATGGGTTTTGAGAGTGTTCTACTTTCAAGGTCCAGCTCTGGGACAGATTTATCTGGTATTTGTCTGATCAATCATGGCTGCTGGTGGCCCATTGGTCCACACATACATTACAGCCTGGTTGATCTGTCACTTGGAGGAGGAAATTGCCTAGTATCCTCTTAAAGACTTCTACACTTGTTTCAACAGTTTTTCTGATATCTTATGGTAAGATGTTAAAAAGTCTGGGACCATGTATGTTGATGAAGTTTTCTCTTAATGTGCTCGCTGCACCCCTGCCTTTCTTGGGGTTTATTCTACATGTTCTCCCATATCTCTCACTCCAGTTTGTGCAGATCTGGGACCATCCCCACCAGTACTTTCCATGTATATACTACGTTATCAAGTATCTCCTCCACTCCACTGAGTACATATTTAGAACTTTGAGGAGTTTCCAGTAATTTAAATGTTTCATTGGCTCTATGTAGGCTGTAAATAATCTCGGAATCTGTTCCAGTGTCAATCTCTCTGTTGCCCTGAATGGAGCCCTTAACAATAAGCAGTACCCCAAATGAGAGAGCACAAGCAATCTGAAAAGTGTCATGATTGGCACTACTTTCCATCCTGAAAGTTCTCTCATTTTCCACCCTGTCATTTTTCTGGCCATCATGACATGTGCCTTATTAAGTTCTTTAAAAGAAAGGTCAGCCGATATCATTATCCCCAAAGCCTTCACATGTTCCATTCTTTCTATTTGGTGCTCCTTTTGAGTTCTTCAATTTTTCCCATACCTAAGCAGTTGCAGTAACTTATGTTACAGGTCTTATTATTTTCCACCTCCCACTGAATGACTCTGCTTATATCTTTTTGCAATTATTACGTGTCTTCTACATAGATGATTTTCATGCATATTTTCATATCTTCTACAAATGATTATATGAAACTGTGACAAGAGGTTTTATCTATTCCCACTATGAGGATAAATTGGACAGTACCCAATGGTACTGAGCTTTTTACTCTGGTAATGCTGGATGGAAACATTAGGAAGAGTTTCCTTAAGATACATGCTGTCCCTGTTCACCTATCAGTAAAATAGGAGTTAGTCCACTTGTGTGGGTTGCATCCTGGGAACAAAACTGACCTAATTTGTACGAAGTGCTCTGCATAACAAGGGGCTTTCTATACAGTATTATGTCACTGATGTTAGCCAGGCCTGTATACCTTGTACATGTACTTGTTATTATTATGAGGAACATAAAGCTCATGAAGCAGGAGTGTGTGTACCTAGTAGTGACCAGAGCTATTACTTGACCCCTGCAACCACAAATAGGGGAGTATGCGCACGTGCACACGCCCGCACGCCCACACACACACACACACACACACACACACACACACACACACACACAAATAAAAAAAAAAAGGGTATGTCTATCGACAAGTGCCTTCAACAACTAGTAACACACATAAGAAAAGACTAGGGGTGATATAACATGCAAAATATTGATAAGTGATAGGGGTAGATGGGGAGGGATCATTAAAGATATAGGAAACAGGAACACAGGGCACAGCTGGAACCTTAGAACATACAGGTCACATTTATGAGAGGAATTGCCTATTCAGTCTTAGGAAGTGAAACAACCTTGAGAGTGAAGTGGCAGAGGCAAGATCCATATACTTGGCATGAGAAGGCTCTCAAGGTTATGAATGAATGAACCCAGTACAGTGAAGAGGCAGGGCCAGGAGCTGAGACTCAACCTCCACAACCACATATTGGTAAGTACACCCTCTTCCCCCCCACACACATTCAGAATATTGCTGTTTTGTTCAACATTCTGCTAAAAAATATTTGTGTGCCAACAGCTGCCACTGACCAATTATTCCATTTGTTACTAAGGTATTCAGTGTCATTGTTTGTGGATTTTTTTTGTCACTTGTGACACTATCTGAAAAACTCTTAAAATATATAAGTTTTATGGTATTACAAAAACATTTTTAGTGATTTCATTGTATTGTAAATTATATGAGCATTATAATGTTATGTTGTATCTGTATTTTCTGTGGTGATGAGTGTTATTATCCGAGTGTCATACAACGTTCTACATGAATGGTATATAATACCGACAAGATGAAGAATTACACACATGTGCAACATCTGGGTGTCATTATTTGTAGATGTTTTGCCATCCATTGACTATCAATACTATACAAGGACATCATGTGAAGAACATAGAACTATATACAAAAGATGAGTAAATCAGTCCCTCAGTCTTGGAGTTGGTGAAAAGCACCCCAGTCTTGAAGACGCGGTGCTCTTCACCTGCTCCTAGTCTGAGGGACTGACTACCTCATCCACTATTTGCTGTAGTATACATATTTCTGTCATTGTAGGTAACAGGTTGGTAGACAATTATTATTATTATAATAAAAAAGAAGCGCTAAACCACAAGGGCTATACAGCGCAGTTGGTAGACAAGAACCACCCAGGGAGGTACAGTACTACTGTCCTGCCGAGTAAGTGTAAAATGGAAGCCTGTAACTGTTCTACATGATGGTAGGAAATATAATAAAAGAGGGGCTCACCGGTGAAGGATAGAGTGTTTGTAGCTGGTCGAACATCCACATTTCTACACCGAGCCTCTTTCTGATGAGCGACATCTGGTGGGCGCCATATTTGGCTGTGAGGTACTTCTCCTTACGTTCCTTCACTTCCCCAATCTGTGCGAACTCTACGTGTAGGTTGCCCCTTGGGGGGCCCCGCCCCCGGTCTGGGGAACTCCCCACGGTTCGCCCTGAGGTGTACGAGGCCACGCCCACTTCCATGCCGCTCTGTAAAAGAAAAAAAATCAGTAAAAAATAGAGAATTATTATATTATTAGTAGTAACCCAGTTTGTCTTTTAGCACGAGATACTGTGGAAGTGATATCTTCCATTCACTACTTACCAGATGTGCTGTCTATGAGAACTCACCAGAGATGCTATCTACCAGTACTTACTACCACTAGAATATGAGAGGAATATACCATGTGCAAGAGCTTGGATTATTATTATAATCAAAAAGAAGCGCTAAGCCACAAGGGCTAGCAAGAGCTTGGAAATGCTAAATGTTCATGGCAATTTTGATAGAAATGTTGTACTTTCAGTATTTTTAATATTCTTATTTTTATTATAGTAGTATTTGTGGATATTTGTATATGAGTGTTTTTTTTTTTTTTTTTTTTTTCGCTGTGTATGAAGGACAAACTGGTTGCCCCTTAGTTAGGGGTCATTCTTGTGTCTCCTTTCTTGCCTGATGCTGTGCTGCTCACAGCCACTTTGTGCATTTTGCTGTTTAGTGAACTGGTCACTTTAAGGTTCAAGTAACCTGTGCTTATTGCCTTTCTGTTGGTAAGAAGTTAGTCTATTTAAGGACTGGTTTCATTAATAAGTCAAGTCTTACTGAACACGCTTCACACACACATTACATAGTCTAGTACTATCAAGTACAACAACGTACCAGATGGTACAGTTTATCATTAAGAGTACAGTATTGTACAGTATTTTAAGAAAAGTGCTAAACTCACTGTTTAAACAAAATGTACGAAAATACTGAATACTCGTAAGCTACTGATGATGCACCTAGTGATACCTAGTGATGTGTAGGAGCCTTAATTAAACTTCTCCTCGAGTGATGTTAGCAGCTTTTGTCCCTTGAGCCTGTACTCCGTCTACAGTCTTCTTTGCCCTTCCCCAAACATAACTTTGCACTTGCTGCAGTTAAACTCCAGTAGCTACTTGTCAGACCAGACCTTCAGCCTTTCCAGATCTACTGTAGCCTTTTCTGGTCCACATCTGTTTGCATTATTAGTTTTACATCTGCAAACAGGGATACCTCTGATGATTCCATCCATTGCATCATTTACATATTCAAGAAATAGCACTGGCCCTATGACTGACCCTTGTGGTACCCCATTTGCCACGTGTACCTATCCTGACACCTTCAAGGACTATCACTCGTTGCCTTCCTGTCAGGTATGCCTTGATCCATTGTAGTGCTTTCCCTGTTATTACTGCCTGCTCCATGCACTTTTGTACCAGTCTCTGGTGGGTACTTCGCCATAAGCCTTCATACAGTCAAAGAAGATGCAATCTACTCATCCCTCTCTCAGCTGCCTTATTTCTGTTACACTGTCCTTGACTCCAGTAGGTTTGTGACACAGGACTTGTCCTGTGTGTGTACTCACCTATATGTGGTTAAAGGGGTCAAGTCAAAGCTCCTGTGTGTGTGTGTGTGTGTACTCACCTAGTTGAGGTTGCAGGGGTCGAGTCCGAGCTCCTGGCCCCGCCTCTTCACTGGTCGCTACTAGGCTACTCTCCCTGAACCGTGAGCTTTATCATACCTCTGCTTAAAGCTATGTATGGATCCTGCCTCCACTACATCGCTTCCCAAACTATTCCACTTACTGACTACTCTGTGGCTGAAGAAATACTTCCTAACATCCCTGTGATTCATCTGGGTCTTCAACTTCCAACTGTCCCCTTGTTGCTGTGTCCCATCTCTGGAACATCCTGTCTTTGTTCACCTTGTCAATTTCTCTCAGTATTTTGTATGTCATTATCATGGCTCCCCTATCTCTCCTGTCCTCCAGTGTCGTCAGGTTGATTTCCCTTAACCTCACCTAGTAGGACATACCTCTTAGCTCTGGGACTAGTCTTGTTGCAAACCTTTGCACTTTCTATAGTTTCTTTACATGCTTGGCTAGGTGTGGGTTCCAAACTGGTGCCGCATACTCCAATGTGGGCCTAACGTACACGGTGTACAGGGTCCTGAACGATTCCTTATTAAGGTGTTGGAATGCTGTTCCGAGGTTTGCTAGGCACCCACATGCTGCAGCCGTTATTTGGTTGATGTGCGCTTCAGGAGATGTGCCTGGTGTTATACTCACACCAAGATCTTTTTCCTTGAGTGAGGTTTATAGTCTCTGGGCCCCCTAGACTGTACTCTGTCTGCGGTCTTCTTTGCCCTTCCCCAATCTTCATGACTTTGCACTTGGTGGGATTAAACTCCAGGAGCCAATTGCTGGACCAGGTCTGCAGCCTGCCCAGATCCCTTTGTAGTTCTGCCTGGTCTTCGATCGAGTGAATTCTTCTCATCAACTTCACGTCATCTGCAAATAGGGACACCTCAGAGTCTATTCCTTCCGTCATGTCGTTCACAAATACCAGAAACAGCACTGGTCCTAGGACTGACCCTTGTGGGACCCCGCTGGTCACAGGTGCCCACTGACACCTCGCCACATACCATGACTCGCTGCTGTCTTCCTGACAAGTATTCCCTGATCCATTGTAGTGCCTTCCCTGTTATCCCTGCTTGGTCCTCCAGGTTTTGCACTAATCTCTTGTGTGGAACTGTGTCAAATGCCTTCTTGCAGTCCAAGAATATGCAACCCACCCACCCCTCTCTCTCTTGTCTTACTGCTGTCACCATGTCATAGAACTCCAGTAGGTTTGTGACACAGGATTTCCTGTCCCTGAAACCATGTTGGCTGCTGTTGAGATCATTACTTTCTAGGTGTTCCACCACTCTTCTCCTGATAATCTTCTCCATGACTTTACATACTATACATGTCAGTGACACTGGTCTGTAGTTTAGTGCTTCATGTCTGTCTCCTTTTTTAAAGATTGGGACTACATTTGCTGTCTTCCATGCCTCAGGCAATCTCCCTGTTTTGATAGATGTATTGAATATTGTTGTTAGGGGTACACATAGCACTTCTGCTCCCTCTCTCAGGACCCATGGGGAGATGTTATCTGGCCCCATTGCCTTTGAGGCATTTAGCTCACTCAGAAGCCTCTTCACTTCTTCCTCGGTTGTGTGCACTGTGTCTAGCACTTGGTGGTGTGCCCCACCTCTCCGTCTTTCTGGAGCCCCTTCTGTCTCCTCTGTGAACACTTCTTTGAATCTCTTGTTGAGTTCCTCACATACTTCACGGTCATTTCTTGTTGTCTCTCCTCCTCCTTCCTTCCTTAGCCTGATTACCTGGTCCTTGACTGTTGTTTTCCTCCTGATGTGGCTGTATAACAGGTTCGGGTCAGATTTGGCTTTCGCTGCTATGTCGTTTTCATATTGTCTTTGGGCCTCCCTTCTTATCTGTGCATATTCGTTTCTGGCTCTACGACTGCTCTCCTTATTCTCCTGGGTCCTTTGCCTTCTATATTTCTTCCATTCCCTAGCACACTTGGTTTTTGCCTCCCTGCACCTTTGGGTGAACCATGGGCTCATCCTGTTTTTTTCATTATTCCTGTTACCCATGGGTACAAACCTCTCCTCAGCCTCCTTGCATATTGTTGCTACATATTCCATCATCTCATTAACTGGCTTCCCTGCCCGTTCTCTGTCCCACTGAACCTCGTTCAGGAAGTTCCTCATTCCCGTGTAGTCCCCTTTCTTGTAGTTTAGCTTCATTCGTCTTGGCCTTCCTGCTTCTCCCTCCACTTGTAGCTCTACTGTGTATTTGAAGCTTAAAACCACATGATCACTGGCCCCAAGGGGTCTTTCATATGTGATGTCCTCGATATCTGCACTACTCAAGGTGAATACTAAGTCCAGTCTTGCTGGTTCCTCTCCTCTCTCTCTTGTAGTGTCCCTTACATGTTGGTACATGAAGTTTTCCAGTACCACCTCCATCTTAGCCCTCCATGTATCTTGGCCCCCATGTGGCTCCAAGTTCTCCCAATCGATCTCCTTGTGGTTAAAGTCACCCATGATCAGGAGCTTTGCCCTGCATGCATGAGCTCTTCTGGCCACTGCAGCCAGTGTGTCAACCATCGCTCTACTGCTCTCGTCATACTCTTGCCTTGGCCTCCTGCTGTTCTGTGGTGGGTTATACATCACTGCTATTACCACCTTGGGACCTCCAGAGTGAAGCGTTCCCGCTATGTAATCACTTTCTTCTCTGCTGTCTCCTCTCTCCAGCTCATCAAAATTCCATCAGTTTTTGATCAGCAATGCCACTCCTCCACTCACCCTGTTCCCTCTGTCTTTCCTCAGGATCTGGTATCCCGTTGTAAAGATGGCATCTGTTATCATACTCATAAGCTTGGTTTCTGTGAGAGCTATGATGTCCGGTGATGCCTCTGACTCTTTCGTGCCGCTCCTCCCACTTATTTGTTATTCCATCAGTGTTTGTGTACCATACCTTCAGTTTCCTTTCCAACACTGTGGTTTGGGGGGCCTGTGAGGGTGGGATACCTGGTAGCATGCTGTGGGATTCTATAGCTCGGTGTTGGGCGGAAGCTGTGGGTATGGATTGTAGTGCGTGTTGGGATGGTGTGATAGGTTGTGAGGTTCCGAGGATAGTTGTGTGTGCGCTTGCCCTTGCTGCTCTGTTCTCCTCTGACTGACCTCTGCTGGTTCCATCCTTGTCTCCTTTCCTAGCTCCTTTTGCTTGTTTGTCCTTTCCCTCAGCTGCTGTCGTTCTGTTTGTGTTCTGTCTCTGTCTAGGAACACCCTCTTGTACCCTTCTGAGAATTTCAACCGTGGTTTCTCTTGGAGGATCCTGTTCCACACTGTTTCCGTCCTGAGAATCAGCTTGATCGGTCGGTTTCTCCCCTTCGAGTACCCCCCCTATTCTCTGAAAATTTACAATCTAGTCCATCTCGTCTTCACCTATTTCCGTGATGATTTTCTCAATCTCCTTTCTTTCTTCCTGCCGCCTTTGAGTGTGTGTCCTTTCCTCTCTCTCCAGAAGCCCATGGATAAACACTGATTTTGCCCTTTCCTCCTCCCATTGCCTCACCCTCTGTGACTCTGGATCCTGTCTGTATGTGGTCATTTTCTCCCTTGATTT